CGCCCAGCCGGCGGGCATGCCCCCACTCCAACGGGCAACGGGCGTCCGCGGGCGCCCAGCCGGCGGGCATGCCCCCACTCCAACGGGCAACGGGCGTCCGCGGGCGCCCAGCCGGCGGGCATGCCCCCACTCCAACGGGCAACGGGTGTCCGCGGGCGCCCAGTCGGCGGGCATGCCCCCACTCCAACGGGCAACGGGCGTCCGCGGGCGCCCAGCCGGCGGGCATGCCCCCACTCCAATCATCGCCCCACTACGTTTAAAACTATTTAGTTTAGTTGGCGCCATTTAATGATATCATTACTTTTGTAGAGAAGATAGTTTTGTAGTGAAGATGCAAAAAAGATAGAGTAACAAAATATATTCCGTCGTTGGAGCTTATACATACAACCTGTACAAATACTTAATAATGGCTAATATTGACGTTATGAATAATAAAATGTTATGTGCAATAGCGCAAAATATACTGCGAAGAAGATTATTAGTGGCAGCAATGATAATATGTGGTAAAAGAAGAAAATATAAGAAGAGAAAATGTTGGGTCTCGGACTTTCTAAAGCAACGTAATATGAATGGTGCTTATAATATAACAATTCCGAAATTATTAAGAAATCATGATTTATTTATAAATTATTGTCGAATGAGCAGAACACAATTCGAAGAATTACTTGTACTAATTGCACCAAAAATTAAAAAGGATTCAGTAATTCGAGTACCAATTGAACCTGCGCAACGTCTATTACTTACATTAAGGTAAGAAATATGTGAGCATGTGTATGCGTATATTTTGTCATTCTTGTGTGTTTCAAAATTATATTGTTATATATTTTTTGCAGATACTTAGCATCTGGAGACTCTATGATGTCGCTGAAATATCAATACTATATTGCTCAACCAACAATTTCAACAATAGTTGCAGAAACTTGTAATGCATTATGGACCATTTTAATGCCTACGGTACTTAAAGTACCTTTGTGTGATGATTGGAAAAGAATTGCTGAAGCATTTGAAATAAAGTGTAACTTTCCACACTGTTTGGGTGCTATAGATGGAAAGCATGTAGTTATACAGGTAACATATAAGATTTTTTATAAGTTCTTTTGTTATGTTGTGTAGAACATTTGCAATCTTTGAAAAATTTTTAGGCACCACCAAACTCTGGTTCTACGTATTACAATTATAAAAGTGCACATAGCATTGTATTAATGGCTATTTGTGACAGTGATTATAAATTTATCTTAGTTGATATTGGTGCAGAGGGACGACAGAGTGATGGAGGTATATGGTCGCGATCTATTATGGGTCATGCTTTTTCAAGAGGTGACATGGATATACCACCTCCAAATAGTGTCTCTGAAGAATTAATTCTTCTATATGTATTAGTCGCGGATGAAGCTTTCCAACTAATAAATTATATAATGCGACCTTTTCCTGAAAGAAATTTAACAAAAGAGAAAAGGATTTTTAATTATCGATTAAGTAGAGCACGCCGTATGGTAGAGTGTTCATTCGGCCTTCTCTCGTGTCAATGGAGAATATATAGAAGACCCATTAACGTATCATTAGAGACAGCTGAAAACATAGTAAAAGCTACAATAGTATTACACAATTTTCTTCGCCAAAATAACGATAACAATTATTCATTTACTTCTAATATAGAAAATGAAATAACGAGCTTTGAGATGAGAGCAGAAGCATTACAAAATATTAATAACATTGGCAGTAATACGAATACACGAGAAGCATCTGAAATACGCAACAGTTTTGCTACTTATTTTAATAACAATGGTGCTATTCCATGGCAAGAAGCTTCGATCTAATATTTCAAGTTCAAAATCAATTAATATTTAATCAATTTATTAATATTTTGAAATTTTCGTGTGTATTTCTAACTTTATAAATATAGATATATATATAACATTTTTCACCATACATTATAATATACATACATGGTTAAAATATAACAATTTATTTTGCTTTTGTAAAGTACAAAAATATATTCCTAATTTTAAGACTTTATTAATAAAATGTACGCATTACATATAATATAAAATACATATATAAAAATACTCCACAACTTTTTTATACCACATATAAGATTGTAATAAGAATCACGGAATAAGTAACAATAGACATATAATAATAAGTGACATATTCTTATGTATTTTTATTTGTTCAATAACAGAGCTTCTAATACATTCTAATCTAACCATAAATTCAAACATAAAATTAAGAATATGAAACAGAATGTCTTATTTATGCTTAACTAAAAAATATATCTTTCTCTATATCTTTCTTTTAATATCACACATATAAGATTGTAATAAGAATCACAGAATAACAAATACAATAGACATACAGGGTGATTCAAAATAGGTATAGTGTCCCTGAAATGCCGTATTCCTGATTAAATTCTAAGACGATTTTTCTCTTACCAAAATGTTCTCCGAAGCTTAGTTTTTGAATTATTCAAAGAAATAGTCAGCGAATAACTGGCCGAGTACAAGAGGCAGACAGGAGCGGCGCACCGCCGCGGCGCCCGGCGGCTTACGCGGGGCGGTCAGCTGAGCGATCAGCTACAGCGTTGCACACGCACCTCTCTCTCTCTCTCTCTCTCTCTCTCTCT